GATAGCAATTCCATTTTTTCCCCAAGAACTTATACAAAATTGGACTAGTTCTATTTTTAATTTTAATTGCTTTTTTTGTTTTTGTTTTTGTTTTGGACAGAAGTTTGAATGATTAAGTTGGTTATAATAGTTAACATGATTGAATATTTAGATTTTCTCATTTTGTTATATATGTATATATATATTATAATTCTAGAGTTCTAAAGTTGTAATGCTTTTCGTTGGCCGGAGATAAATGGTTGGATTGGGGATATTATTCCATAGGTCTCATAGATACTTGTTTGCAATTTCTTTTCAAACGAGATTATGATATGAGAATGGATTGTATATCCTCCAAAATGACGGAATATACAATACCACACCCCTCAGTTATATAATCTCCAGTAGGATGGGATATGAATGGAAATGACATTCTCTATTAAATATATTTAACAAACCAACAAATCTTGCACCATCTGTGGTGTGGGAAGAAACATCTTCCAGTGAAAGTTGGTTGTTTTGCTTTTGAGGAGAAACATATTTTCTCATTTATTTTGCTTTCTTCTTTTTTTTTTTTAATGTATATTCTTATACTGAAGCATCTTTCCATTGATTTTTGTTATGGTTGAACTGTTGACCCTTTAGCATTCAGAGTTGTTTTATTATTATTATTATTATTTTACATCTACATTGTTATTCTTGATCCAAAATAAATGGAAAACAATCAAATTTTGTAGAATGTAAAATTAGATTTTAGCGGCCAAAATTTTATTATATAGTGGGTCTGTGGGCTAAAATCAAGGTTTTGAAAACTGGACTAGACTGACCGGTTCGTCGGTTCAACCGTCGGTTTTTCCGGTTCTCACTAAATACGCCGATTTTCAGTTTTGGCCGGTTCAGAGGGTGCATCCGGACCGGAATCCCGACCGGTCGACGGTTTAACCGGTTGAACCGGCCGGTCCAGTTCGATTTTCAAAACTTTGATTTTAGCCCACAGACCCACTACATGATAAAATTTTGATTGTTTAGCCCACACACCTACACAATCAAATTTGATTTTCTCATTGTTATTCTTGATCTAAAAAAAAATTACCGATCAAAAAAGAAAAAAAAAATGATTGTTTAGCCTACACACCCACTACATAATAAAGAAAAGACTACAAAAAATTTACATCTTCCATTTTTTTTTTTTTTTTTTTGATAGGTAAATTTTTATTTTTATTTTTGGCAAAGGATTTGTTGTAGTCTTTTCTTTATTATTTCCACTTGATTTTGCAACAACTCTGTTTCAAGAGCTGACCATTGATGGGCAAAGGGGTAAGATGGGCATGAATGTATGCTATAACCGCAAATTTGAAAAAAAAAAATTGAGACACCTCAAATGAAATCAGTTATTTTGAATCTTCTACTTTTTAGTTTTTTTATTACAATAATAACCTCAAATGAAATCATTAAAATGGATATTAATAATTTTGAGACACCTCATCTTATAATTCAGCCCACATATCATGAGTTAGGGTTTATGAAAGCATCCACCTCCATCACCACCCAATCTATCTTTCCCAAATCCCACCACCTTCAAAATCTACCCACCCTCAAAACCTTGAAAATCCTTTGGTGGCAATATTCTGACAGCAACGATGGCAACCATTTGATTACAGACACTTCTCCGACAGTGACAATGAGTGAAAGTTTTTATGACAACCACAACTCCATGAAACAAGAGGAATACAACAATAATAACTCAAAAGAGATTAGCACTGTAAGAGTAAGTTTCTTGAAAAAAAAATAGCAAAAATAATAATAAAATGCTCGTCATTTTTTCATAATTGAACTCCGTCTGAACATTGTTTATTTGTTCAGGAATAGGTAACCGAACATTTCTTATTTTGGAAACAAATAACTGAAGTAGCAACAAAAGCTAGCAAACAAGGAGGTCAGACCATCCTTGGGTGGACGACTAAGGGGTTAATCAGTGGGTGAAATTCTGCCCAGTTTTGCTCACACATAGAGCATACAAGTACAATGAGGCCATAGATGAATGATAGAAAACCAACCAGAGAAGCATGAAAGTGAATTATGTTGTGTGTGTGAAAAGAAGTAATAGAAAAAAAAAAATCAAACAGATTGACAGACCTCGTAATGAAGAAGAGAAAAAACTTCTTAATCACCAAAAAATTTTTCCACTAGTTTTGGAAGGTTCCATCATCGTTGGTTTTGTTAGGGTTTTAGGAGAGAGACTTTTTGGGGTTTGGGAGTGTGCATTTGAATGGGTGGAATGTTTTTACAAGGATAATTTTGGTATTATTTGGGGGGAGAAAAGAAATTTTAAAAATTTTACAATTTATAAGTGGGGATCCAAAGAAATGGGGCATCCAAAATAATTTATGGGATGCTAATAGCAGTACTCAATTTTTTCTACTGGTTTTGGGAGGTTTTATCAGCGTGGGATTTGTTAGGGTTTTGAGAGAGATTTTTTGGGGTGTAGCGGTGTGTATTTGAATGGGTGGAATGTTTTTATAAAGATAATTTTGATATTATTTGAAAGGAGAAAATAAATTTTAAGGGTTTTGCAATTTATAAGTGGGGGTCCAAAGAAATGGAGCATCCAAAATAATTAATGGGGTACTAATAGCAACACTTTATTTTTTATAAAATAAACATAAATATGATATATCCAGAGTTAACAAACAGGAATAGTATGATATGTTATCACAATACATATCCTATCAGTGTATATACTTGTGTAAATTTCAAAAATTATAGCTTTGTTTGGGATGTGGGTTGACTTTTTGGCTTTTATAACCTGGGGCTAAAAAGTTTCGTTTGGTATGGATTTTTTGATTTTTATGAGAGAAAAAATAAAATGATTATAGTTTGAATGTGATATTTTTTTTATCATGTGGCTAAAAAGTCTATTTTGTCTTTTTTATATCTATTTTAGCCCCAACCTACTCCAAACCAACTTCCCAAATGAGTGCTATTATACCGTTCATTTTATTTCTAGACAATCAAACAAGGCCTATAATTTTAGATTTTGAATTCAAGGTGTGTTTGTATCCCGACTGTACGGGGGTGAAATATTATGGACACTGTTAGTTTTATTAATATTTATTTCCTTACATTATAAACTCTTTCCAGGGTTAGTTGTTGGAGGCTTATTGATATGCATTATTGGACTATAAGTATCCAATTTGAATAATTTTTTTATATTTGTAAATAATTTTTTATTGATCAGGGAAAAAAAAAATAGCAGTACAAAACAGATATTAATAAGTGACACTACGTTATGGGAGATATCATTCAATTGAATGTGAAATCAACAATCTCCAAACAGGGTTGGGTTTGTTTTTTTTACTTCCAAAAACCAGGACTGACTATTTCACATATTTTGTCAGATGCTTTCCTTCTAAATAATTTAAGTTGGCATGAGAGCTTCTTCAATATTATACTATTGTTATATTGTGCCCTTAAATTTTGAAATATATCTACTTTAATGAAGTAAATGGCTTGTTATTTATTGTGTGACAAAAAAACTTGACTGTGTTGTTAATAAAGAGATCAACTAAGATGAATAACACACTGATCATGAAATTGTAAAATAGTACACCATTAATACTCTGGTCAGCTAACATAAGATGAACACCCTAATGCTTAAGTCAGTACCAGATCTTTGGATATATAGTGATAGTAATCAAACTACTCTATTAGAGTTTGTGTATTGCATATCCGACCTTTCCTTTGAGATTGTGCTCTTTATGTAGAACATTAATCCTACACCCAACATATCACATTTTTTTGAAGTTCCTAAAATGTCCACAACAAAAGTTACAAAAAGCAATTATGCCATTATTAATATATATTTCAATGTCTTGTACTTTTATTATTCATCAATAAAAAATAAAAAATAAATTAAATAAACACATTTGATCTTTTTTTAATTTGACACGTTAGTGTGCCTATCGTTTTTGTGCTTATCTTTGCAGTTTAGTTACTATAAATTGCTAATAATAGGTAATTTTTACAAAACATGAAGGGGAGGCCTTTCATGTCGGAACATTAGTTGGTGAAACAAATGAATCATAACTGTGTTTAGCATTCTAAATTTTCCTTACTAGAAACCGGACCGTATGCTACGGAATCATCATATACCAGAATTTTTATGCATATAAATGCACTCACTCGCTTATCTCACTCTTCAAGTTTTCATTCTTATTATTTGTCCCAAAAAAAGTATAAAAATATATATATATAAATTATAAATAAACAAAAATAAATAACTCATCCTTGTCGATCACAGGTACTTGAAAATTTCTTCTTTTCTTGAACAGTGTTTGACTTTTTGTTTGTTTGTTTGTTTGTTTGTTCTCTCTCTCTCTCTTGCTGCTAACTTGAAATTTTTTCCACACACTTTTATTATTAAACCTAGGTCTAGTATATTATACCTAATTTACTATTATATTTATATTTTGGGAATATAACATAAATACGACATACATAAATATATTTTTTTTCTTTGTTTTGTTCTTTGATTTTCTCTTTCGCTCATGTTCATGTTCCAATTCTTTATATACATGTGTAACATGTACACATTTCGTATTATAGGTTTCAATGCATCTTGTGTGTGTCATATTTTTCATCAGAATCACTCTCAATTACATAAAACACACAAGTCATAACAATTTTAAAATTTTCACTCTTTTTTTTTCCTTCAAAAATGCTCATATGGTTATCTGCTCTAGTAAATAACTCTCATTACAATTTTGAAGTTTTGTCATGCTGCTCATTTTGTTAATTGCCCTAGTTAATAACTACTAATAATTTTTAAATTCAACCCATTCCTCTCATTTATCAAATTGCCAAAAAAATTATATGTAAAATTGTAAATCCGCTGCATTTGCGCCTTTTTTCTTTTCTTTCTTCATCAGAATTACTTTTTTCTCCTTCTTCTTCAGATCAGGGCTTTTTTTTTTTTTTTTTTGTGGGTGTGTGTGTGTGGGATTTTTTTTTTTTTTTGTGTGTGTGTGTGTGTGTGAGATATTTGTTTGCATACACCAAATTGCAAAAACAAAAACAAAAAAATTCTCATTCATCAAATCACCAAAAATTAGATTAAATGCATCACGCTTGCACCACTGTCATTACAATCTTTCACTCCCATCCAATTGATCAATATGAATCTTGATTTTATGTTTTTGATTTTAGAAAGTGAAACAAGTTTGTGAATTACAACAATGGCACCAAAGGTCTCAATTCTTCCCCAAGTGGGATTCCTATTCATATTATGCCTATGGACAGCCATGGCAGAACCAAAATCAGAATACACCAAATACAAGGACCCCAAACAGCCCCTTAACATTCGAATACGTGACCTCATGAACCGGATGACTCTAGCCGAGAAGATTGGGCAGATGATACAGATAGAAAAGGCCAATGCCACCCATGAGAACTTGAGGGATTATGCATTTGGTAGCATACTAAGCGGTGGAGGAAGCGTTCCTCGTAATGAGGCCTCTGCCGAGGACTGGGTCAACATGGTGAATCAGTTTCAGCGAGGTTCACTCTCAAGTCGGCTTGGAATTCCCATGATTTATGCAATCGATGCAGTGCACGGACACAACAATGTCTATAAGGCCACAATTTTCCCACATAACATTGGTCTTGGAGCAACAAGGCAAGTACTTTTTAAAATCTAGTTGATGATGATGATATTGATTCATTTTTCTGCATATTTGTGAGTAAATATGTTTGTTACGTTTGTTATATGCATTAAGTGCTCAATTGGGCATATGGGTTTTAATTTGTAGGTATCAAACACATTGAAGAGTCAGGTTGAACAAAACAATTTAACTAATCATGTGGAAACATACTAGCTATGTGTAGACTTATTTGGTGCAGCTCTTAGCAAGTTAAAAACTAATAATCAGATGCAGAAGTTCAAAGCACATCTCTTTATTTTCAACAATTATCTTATTTAAGTTATTTCTGCCTCAAAAATTGTAAGCAGAAGCTACATCAAATATTTTGTCAGTGTGTACAATTGTATTGATAGACTTGTCATGTTGCAGGGATCCAGAACTTGTGAAGAGGATTGGTGTTGCCACTGCTCTTGAAGTTAGAGCTACTGGCATTCCTTATGCGTTTGCACCATGCATTGCGGTATGCATACATGCATTCAGATCCAGAAACCAATGCTCCCAAATATAATAGTTTCTCAGACTAGTGGAATTGCAAAAAATAAAATCTAATGTTTGATCCTAAAAAAACATTTATAAAACAGGTATGCAGAGATCCAAGATGGGGTCGTTGCTATGAAAGCTATAGCGAGGATCACAAAATTGTACAAGCAATGTCTGAAATGGTAATCGGTTTACAAGGGGAGAACCCTAATCGAAAGGGTGTTCCTTATGTTGGTGGAAAGTAAGCCTATCTTGGGACCTAATTGCTTGTTTTTTCGATAATTTGTTATTGATATTCGCACACTATAAATATTTCACGCTTACATAATTCCCAATTATTCTTTCAATCTTATAAAGGGACAAAGTTTTGGCTTGTGCAAAACACTTTGTGGGTGATGGTGGCACGGTCAAGGGAATCGATGAAAACAACACCGTGACTGACTGGCACACGTTGCTAAGCATTCACATGCCTGCATACTACAACTCCATCATTAACGGCGTGGGAACAATCATGGTGTCTTATTCGAGCTGGAATGGAGTGAAAATGCATGCTAATCGTGATCTAGTTACCGGGTTCCTCAAGGACACCCTTAAGTTTAGGGTATATTTAGTAGTATTTTGATGAAACGAAAACACTGCTAGTTCATAATAGTTCAAAAAAGTCAGTTCTAACTAGTTATTTGTTAAAAATTTTAGGGTTTTGTCATCTCTGATTATCAAGCTATTGACAAGATCACCACTCCGGTCCTTGCAAATTACACATACTCTGTGGAAAAGGGGATTCTAGCGGGCATTGACATGGTTAGTAGTCTCTTCTACGTAGAAACAATACTTTCTAATAAGTGAAAATGAGTTCTGACTTTGAAGCCAACGTTGCTCGGGTTTTTTTTTTTATTTATTTATAGATCATGGCCATTTCCAACTATACGGACTTCATTGATATCGTGACATCCTTAGTCGAAAAGAATATTGTCCCCATGAGTCGTATTGATGATGCTGTCAAAAGGATTTTGAGGGTCAAGTTTGTTATGGGCCTTTTTGAGAATCCATTGGCGGATTTTAGCCTAGTTAATCATCTTGGAAGTCAGGTTAGTGAACTAATAATTCACACTTTATTTCTCCCTTTATTTGTTAAATGTTTTTGAACTATTCATGTCTTCTATACGATAAAAAACAAAACAAAACAATAACCATTAATAGAACAGGCTCATAGAGATTTAGCAAGGGAAGCCGTGAGGAAATCACTCGTGCTCTTGAAGAATGGGAACAATGGAGAAAGTCCCTTGCTTCCTCTCCCCAGAAATGCGGAAAGTATCCTAGTTGCCGGTAGTCATGCAAACAATTTGGGTCTTCAATGTGGTGGTTGGACTATTACTTGGCAGGGAATGAGTGGCAACAAGCTAACTGCCGGTATCCTAATTGTCAATTTCAAGATTTATGTTCTTTGAAAATACTTTTATTTTTAATTTTTTAACAAGAGATTATCATCTTATAATGGATAGGAACTACCATCTTAGACGCCATCAAAGCTGCAGTCAGCTCAAACACACAAGTTGTCTACGAGGAGAACCCCGATGGAAATTTTGCCAAGTCCAAAAACTTTGACTATGCAATTGTTGTTGTGGGAGAGCCACCTTATGCTGAGTTTCATGGAGACAACTTGAACTTGACGATTCCTAAACCCGGTCCTGATACAATTACCAACATATGCGGGAGTGTAAAATGTGTTGTCGTCCTCATCTCTGGCCGGCCTCTTGTGATCGAGCCTTACCTCCCCTCCATTCATGCTCTTGTTGCTGCGTGGCTACCAGGTAGTGAAGGCAAAGGCGTGACTGATGTCCTTTTTGGGGACTACGGATTCACTGGGAAACTTTCCCAGACTTGGTTCAAGAACGTGAATCAACTCCCAATGAATTTTGGGGATCCACATTATGATCCACTCTTCCCCTTCAATTTTGGATTGACCACTAATCCAATGTAGGCTACATATAGCGATTTGAGCTCTTTTTTCGTTCACGGATGCAAAATTGGACTAGTTGTAATTTTGTAATTTTTTGTTTTTGTTCTAGACTTGCCGTTGAATGTGCAAGAACAATCTAACTAGAAAATCATTCAAAACTTTATCGAATAACCAATTTTTGTTGAAGAAGCTATTGAGTCAATTACAAAATGTACTAGTTTGAAACGCTAGTTGGATTTTCCCTAGGGTTGGTAAGGCGAAATGAGGCCACCCGAGCTCATTCCCTTCTCTTCCTGGTCCCAAAGCAGTGTAGTCCTTCCTGAAGAATTTGGGCTTCTTGTTATGCTACTTTAACTATCTAAATTAACATGAGTCACTAGATCTAGATAAGATAAAATTACGATCATTAAATGAGTAATGATTAAAACAACATTTGAAAATCAGGGTGGATTCTCAAAAAACAAGGTATTTTTAAGTAATTTTTGAAGGGAGAAAAATGGGATCAACTTACCACTCCATCTACAAATAAGCTTAGTTTGGATGGTAAGAATTTTAAAAGAGAATAAAATATAATTTTGGATTCTCATGATTCATCTATTTGAAACAAATTGAAATGGACAATGAAAGTGATTCCTATTACTTGAGTTAAAATAACTTTCTCAAACTATAGGAAACTCGTGCCCATGATCCCTACGATATTCTCACATTTCTAAAAGAATATGAATCCCTTGAGAATACATTTTATTATTTTTTATATGAATTTTTTAATTCAACCAAATGTTCAAATAACATTGACAAAATTAATTTTATTATTAATAATGAGATTAATTTGTGACAATATTGACAAATATTTATGTTTAGCGAGTGTGGCCCTGGCCCTATTTGTTGGAATTTTTTTTAAGTTAAAAGTTGATAATTAGAAAGTAAAAGTTAAGAACACCTCTACTATATGTTTCAAATAATCAATTTTTTTAGTTTATTTAAGATATTTCTGCCTAATAAGCTATAAGCAAAAGTTACACCAAACAATCTAACACAGACTCCCAAATCAAAATAAGCTATAATCATCCCCCAAAACGGTAACTAACAATCGTGATAATCAGAAAATATAAGCTAAAAGCACCCTCACCCCAATTTTCAAATAATTAGTTTTTTTCAACTTATTTAAATTATTTCTGTCTAATAAGCTATAAGTAGAAATTGCATCAAATAATCTAACACAAACTCTCAAATCAAAATAAACTATAATCACCCTGTGCCTCATATTGAACACACAAATGATCCAACATTCAATGAACATCATCTAACACCTTTTATTTTTAGGGGTAAATTATATTGATCTTCTTGAGAGAAAATATATTGAGCCAAATATATTCAGTATAATTATACTAAATCTCCTTAAAATTTTAATTTACTTTAACACTCAGTCTCCTTTTTATCAATAATTTGTTACAAGTAAAAATATATATATATATTATCATCTCTAATATATTAAAATATATGTTTTTTTCTTGTTTATTCTGCGTCTACAAATCATCTGAATTAATTTTGATTACTTTGGTTTTACTAAAAGAAAAATCAATAATTATACCAAACTTACGAAGTTTATTGTATTTTTTTAAACCTCAGGTGATAAAAATCACAAATGTAAAATACAACAACAAATCATTTAAAAAATTAAAAGAAGACCTTATGAATCCTCATGAAAATTCATGTATACATTTGAATATATAGTAAAACAATGAAGTGAATCAATCCTCAAGATCCAAGGGCTTGAAATATTTGCCATCTATGAGATAAGTACCAATGGTGAGACGAACTGCCCATACATCTTTTGGCTTTCTTGACACAATTCTGCATATATGTATTATTACATCCTAATAAGAAGCAAATAATTGAGGTAAATAGGCACAATTTTTTATTTTATTTTTTTCACTTCTCATTTCATAATCAATAAAGCTACTAACTCATAATTTTAGCCATCAATTTTACCCAGAATTGGATAAGAATGATTATGTCACGAAAAATGGCAACGGGTAATATATTTTTTAGATTTCGCATGTGAATTTTTAATTTTAAACTCATTATTTTAGTGGTACAATTTCATACTTTCCTCTAATCATGGTAGTTTTAACTTTTATATCTCTATAATTTATCTTACCATATCAATGTTCTCTTAAACTTTTTTTTTATAATCGAATTAAAACAAATACAGTCGTGTTTTGACAAGTTGATAAAAAATTGATTTTTTAACTTTTTTTTAATTTATTTTATCTTTTTATAGGTAAAAAATATGAGAGGTAATATAATCCAAAATGAGAAAAACAAAAACAAAAAAAAGCTAAAAACTAGCTTCTTCTTCTTCTTCTTTTTTCCCTTCCCAAAACACCCCACAATCGAGTCAGGTAATTTTGCCATTCTGGTAATGATTAAGGTTAAATGTGAATTTGAAACAGAGAAATATACAATATGGAGACAGAGAACCCTTGACATGGAAAGATATAAATGGAGAGAGAGAGAGAGAGAGAGAGAGAGTACCTGCCAACATCGCCAGGGTTGACCAAGCCAGAATTAAGCCTGAGACAAGGAACAGCGGTGGCAGTTTTGATCATTTTGGGAGCTTCTGTTACTATAATTGGAGACCCTATCTCCAACCTCCTTGATTTCCTTCTACTTTCTTCTTCTGATGATGATGATGAAGATGAGTAGTCTTTTGATTCAGATTTAATGGAGAATATTGATACTCCGACTAGTACTACATTCTTCTTCTTCGGCTGCCTTGGATTGCAATTCTTGAATTCCACAAATGAATCCTCGTTACGATGCTTCAAATACTGTGGAATCCACCACGCTGATAATGATGATGCTGATGATGAAGTGGCCGCACAAGATAATGAAAACGCCATCACACACACACACACACACACACACACACACACACAGAGTAATATATTTCTTCAGGAACTAGGAGATGACGCTTTTTTATATGTGGTTCACACTCAACTATTTTCATAATTTTAATATAGGAAACAAGTCACATTTTATTTATTTTTCAAAGGAATATGTAGTTTTGGAGAAAATTCAACTTGTTTACCAATTTACCATTTTAATTATCACCGGGGTGGTGGCCCAGTTGAGAAAGTAACTCGTCTCTACAGGCTTGACCCAGGGTCGAATCCTGGGAGGAGTGTGGAAGTGTTCTCTTTGAGACCCCCTCTTTGTACTCCGGTTCGAACTCTCGGCGGTCTGTGGCGTATAGTTGAGCTCCCCTGGTGTCCCGGTAGTGGGTCCCTCACATGGTGGGGGTTAATTCCTGACTGGCAACCGGTTACCCCGGGTCAAATTCAACTTGTTTACCAATTTACTATTTTAATTATCACCAGGTGGTGGCCCAGTTGAAAAAGTAACTCGTCTCCACAGGCTTGACCCAGGGTCGAATCCTAGGAGGAGTGTGGAAGTGTTCTCTTTGAGACCCCCCTCTGTACTCCAGTTTGAACCCTCGGCGGCCTACGGCGTATAGTTGAGCTCCCCTGGTGCCCCGGTGGTGGGTCCCTCACATGGTGGGAGTTAATTCTTGACTGGCAACCGGTTATCCCGGGGTCAGGGCCCACTGGGCCGTGATGACACCTCAGAACCCTTTTTTCTTGTTAAAAAAAAAAAATTACTATTTTAATTAAAAAAAATTATAAAAAAATAATGTGATAATTTATAATAATTTTTTAATTTTTTAACTATAAACTCGTGTCTCCAAACGGATGCACAGTGAGCAAGCTAATTAGCCGCCACTATTGATAACGATTAGTTGTTAAACTTTGATCGTTAAATTAACTATTGATCAACCATGGGATAATGACTGGATGAAAAATATATATTACACAAGATCCAGATCCAATTAGTAGCCCTGCAAATTTGTTTATTTGTTTTTTTTAAGATGAAAACTTTGTAAGAATATAGAAATTCCAATTATAAATAAGGAAAATTTGATGAAAATCATATTTCATAGACTTCTAAATTCTAATAGATCCAATGCGTATTCTTATATTCTAAGATTTTGAAAGAGTTGACCTAATAAATTCATATTCCATTTGATATTTTTTGTGGATATGAATATTCTTTTCAAGTTTGATATGTACCAAGTTTTTATTGTTACATATATGTTCTCTATCATATATGTCATATAATCATAGTCAATATACCATATATGTAGGAGTGAAAGAGAGGAATGGAGTTTGCGTCAAATATGTTAGATCGGTGATGGAGATGATGATGAACTCGCAAGAGACGATGGTAGATCGGTGATAAACAATCTTTTTTTGTCATTGAAAAATCAGAACAATTAGTTTTTGATATCCCATATATATAGGTTTGAGAGAAAGAAAGAGGGTTTATTTATAATAATTCTGAGAAATCAAACATTGTAGACCGACGATGAAGATAACTCACCGAAAACAAAGACAATCGTTTTTTTGCTATTGAACAAGCATAACAATTAGGAGTGAACAGCAAATATTTCAATCCGCTCAAACCGAACGAACCAAACCGTTCCGCCGCATTTTAGACGGATACGTGATGACAAGCTGAAAGTTGCGGATTAATTTTTTTCAATCCGCTTAGTTTTGGATAAATGGTGGATTTGAGATTCTTTTAACTGTAAATTTTTTTCAATCCGCTTAGTTTTGGATAGATGATTGATTTGAGATTCTTTTAACCCCGAACCGTAAAACGGTCTTTATAATTATAATAATTTAGAAACTAAGCCTAACCATAAAACTTTTGAAACGTAATCAGTACAACCCTGCAAAACTAGTTGGGTTCTACAATATAAAATTCATCTGTATATCTATACTAATTCTACCGACAAAAACATCAAAAATACATACATATCATAAGCATACATACTCTCAAAATCAACTTTTATAAAATGTGCAATGTTATCATCAAATTCTTCATAAAATATATCAAGCACTATATAAAAGCAATTTCTAATAATCTATGGAATGTAAAAAATCATATAAATAGGAAACGGTTCGATTTGGTTCTTTTGAACCTTAATCTGGGAATTAAACCATAATCAACTAGACCACTGGTCCAGATAGGTCCGTTCTACTAGTTTTTTTATTTTCATTTTTATTTTATTTTAACACCCCTAATAAAAGAAGCCTGGTTCATGATGGTAAGCTGAACTTTTATAAGTGGTTTGAGTGATGGTATCACTAAAACACAAATTGGGCAAAAATTAAATAAAACAAACAAACGAAAAAAACAAACTTTCAATTGAGTGTACCCCATATTTTTCCCACTTCTTCATAGAAAAAGGTACAACCATTTGCAGCAACAAACAAAACAATAAGAACACAAATTATATAAAAAGAATATCCGAAACCCTATTTTTTGGGCAAGAAGAGCTGGGAGGGGAATAACAAAAGCTTTACAACTATACAAAATCCCCTGCAAGTACTGTGGTTCTTCTTCTTAATTCAGAACTTGATTGAGGAAAAACTTCTTTTACCTTCCCGCTCAGGCCTACGACCCTTAGGCTAGTCGGTAATCATGTTCACTTCTTTGTGTATGTAAGATACAGATCTTGAGCAACGGTCAACACATCTGGCCTCTCTGCTTGATTATATGTTAAACATCGCCGAATAAAATCCTGCAGAAAATCAAAGAGATGTGAGGAATTGTATTGAAGAAACTAGTATACTTCCTGAGCAATTAGCCATGTCAAAGAAAACTATTTTTTTTTTATTTCTCTGTTCCCTTCTTCTTGTCTTTATTTTTATTTCTACCTGTTTTGCCTTTTTCTTTTTTCTTTTTCTTTTTCTTTTTCTTTTTTTTACTTTGGTTGGAAACAGGACACCAAAAAAAAAAAAAAAAATTACTAATCCAAATGAGTGGCAATGAACAAATTGGAAGAACCCACCTTCGCTTCATTTGAGACAGCAGGTCTGGAAGGGAATTCCACCTTGCGAGCTTTGATAATAGTATCTTCGCGTAAAATTCGCTCTTGTGACTGGTCATGCCCAAAAGGACGTCTGCCAAACAGCATTTGGTAAAGTAGAATACCAGCCGACCAAACATCAACCTATTTTGCCAAAAAAATATATAATGTTAGGAATAACCTTAGCCTAAGAAAATGAACTGTTAAATTGAGCATGTGAAACACAGAAATCATTAACACTTCCATCTAAAGGAAGATACTTCAAAGGGGACAACTATTAGGTATCGGGATGCATTGAAAATATAGTCCTCACAAATGAAAATATAGTTCGATTTCACTGACCTTAGAAGATATGAGAGGCGTCTTGCTTAGCTCAAAGCATTCCGGAGGCAGATACCTGAATTTACAGGACAAGAAATGATCAATTGACTGCTAAATTAGCAACAGGTAAGAACATATAGAAAGCGGAAAGAGGAGAGATACAGAAAAATACAAATCAAAGCTTAAAACCAAGAAGCGGTCTTTGGATGGTACATGGTGAATATGTTCTAACTCATAAATGATAAATGGAATTAGGCTATATTCACAAGAAAAAAAAAAAAAAAAAAAAACCATAGTAATAAATTAAGAGATTGAAAATAAAATTAAAAATATGTCACTTACCATAGAAACCTTATCAAGATCCCTAAAACATTATCACCAACAGAATCAAATTTCAACTAAAGAAAGTCTTAGGTCCTATTGTGATAAAACCAAAATCATGTAAGAAATACAGATTGATTTTGGGCTATGTCTGCAGGAATCAAATTAATATTCTTGTATAACATTAAATGATCATTGGACACTAAAGAAAACCAATTGAATCAATAAAATTATTTTCACCTTGTTTAACCGATTTTTCCTTTTCCAGCCAAAGATTGAACTAAAGACACATTTAAACTCCACCCCACCCTGTTAACACCTAAACCGAAGGACTAACTAGGGCTAATCAAATATATCTGGCTTAGCAATTGAGATAGAATGCTTTTGCTTCTCAGTTGACTTGAAATAAATATACACAATATCATGAAAAGAAACACTAGGGAATCCTATAGAGTGATGTTTTCTGTTTTCCAGATTAGGTCAGGTTTACTCCAATTTCTTGATTGTGTATCTCCAGAAAACCAATAAAGAAAAATATATCATTTTCCTTCCTGAATTCAACTCTCACGCAAAGTAGGTTGGAGCAAAAACCAGTATTCATCTATCTTCCACATATAGAGACTGTCTGAGCCACATAATATTGCCATATTCCATAGATATAGTTCATATTGGTCCAAGCATTGTTGTTACAATCATACAATTCACGATTTGATTCATAATATTCCATAGGAGTTGCAACAAAAACCATTCGAATCATATTCGAATCATACTGCAGAATCAGAAATTAAGTGAATCGTGCGATTCAATATGATTCAGCTCTATTTTGTTTTTGTTTACGTAATGCATGAAATGACGTCATTTTCACCAAGCTATCAAGATATATAGAAGAGATCAATTAGTTATATTAGTATACATGATTTTATACATACATACATGTATAAAATTTAGTTATATGGATATTTACTTCATTTTAAACACTGTGTGTGTATTTATATATTTATATACATAGAAGAAATTATATGTTATATTAAATAAAATGAATCTTACGGTTCACGATTCATTATTTTAGCAAAATGATTCAAAATTCGATTTGCAATTTGACAACAATGGGTCCAAGAGGATTCTCTACTTGCAAAAAGTAAGAAGCATGCAAGCAAACAGAAACTGTGAATCTTAAGCAACACAGATTACGAGAACTCAAAAATATTGCCAAGGTTAAGAGAAGAAATGCACAATTGATGCAGCATTTACCAATATGTTCCAGCTCCCTGTGATGTGAGTTCCATGCCCTGGGATCCAACATCATCCTCCACTATCTTACTAAGACCAAAATCAGTCACTTTAGCAACACCAAACTCATCAAAGAGAACATTCCCAGGCTTCAAATCATAATGGATGATCTTTTGTGTTTTTTTATTCAAGTAAACAAGGCCTTGAAATATTTGAACAATAATGATCCTAGCTTCTCTCTCTGGTAGTATGGGTGTTCCTTTAAGAACTGCATCAAGATCTTTACCTGCAAAAAATTGTGAGTTAAAAGTAGAGAAGTAAAGCAAAAATTTGTTGAGTAATCTTTGTTTTTTAAAGCATAACCTAAAGGTAACATTTTCAATTAACTATTAACTACACAAATAAAGAGGGAAAAAAATAAAGAATTGATCATACAGCTGAGAGACTATACACACCACTACAGTACTCTAAGATGGTGCAGAATGTATTCTGGTCAATTTCAAAAATGTCCCAAAGCCGCACAATGTGATGATGGACCAAGGTCTTGTGAATATTGTACTCTCGAATTGCATGTCTTATGTAACTTTGCTTCTTTTCTTCACTCCACTGAGCATTCAGCCCATGAAGCTTACAAGCGACGTATCTATGCTCCACCAAGTCATAAGCCTGCTCGAAATTTCTTACATCAAATGATTGCTTAAAGGTGTATTTTAACATTTGCCAACAAAGGCAACAGAATGATCTTGACTGTTGTTTCAACAAATAGAGCCTTTGTGGAACACTACAGATGTAACAAGAAACATCTCAATCTTAAAGTAATAAAAACTTGCCAAAGTTCTGACCTTGTAAACCTCGCTGAATCCTCCTTTACCAAGAAGGTTTAAGAGTGCATATCGATGGTTCAAAATCTGAAAATTGTTAAAACGAGAACCATCCTCATCTCGTATACGTTTCATTTCACGTATAAGCCTTCCCTTCTCTAGTTCATATCGATCCCTCTCGCGCATAACGGTCTCTTCCTCCTGAAGGACATCCATGGCTCAATGAGATAAGTGTTCTTTTCTTTTTTTTGCCCCGGCCCCCCTTTTGTGTCTTTAGTTGGGTGGGGATGGGGATAGAATGACAATTACAAAAAAATAGTAACTTACACGCTTGATGCTGGCTAGACGGGATTTGTAGATCTCATCCTGCATAAGAATATCATCTTCCTGAGACCCTGTTTCAGCATCTATTGCATCTCCCTTATCTTCAATGAATGATCAACACGGTTAGTGTTCAGAATTTTGCTAAATGACTTACACATGATAACAATTGGGAGTGGGGGAGAGAGGGATATACTAAGAACTTCTTAAATTTGTATATTAAGGATTCAAAATAAATAACAAAACCTTAAACTACCACGATGCAATTATATGCATACAGCAGTGTCTCAAGCCCAGAAGGTGGACAGCCAAATATAATGACATGACATTGACAATAGGATCAGATTTGAAATGACTCAGAAACCAAGTCAAAAGAGTGATTCACATAGTACAACAGGATCAGCAGACTCAGCACTGTATTAAATTTTTATTATTTTTATTTTTGGCTTTAGATACAGAAACACCAGAAAGTGTCGAGGTAAAGCCAAATGCAAGTGCAGTAAACAAGAGAGGTCCCAACTAAGGCAAAAACCTATCTTGTAGACATCCCATGAAGAATCTACACATGACATGACAGAAAGGGAGTAAAATCCTTATTTTTTGTTTGGGGGGGGGGGTGGATGGTGTTTAAATAACTAAGCATCATGTGCTTCAACTCATGGCTCAGCCTCTCCTCATCCTAAGAAGTACACATAACACATCTAATGCTAGGACTTTGTATAGGAAGGCACTGAAGGAGACCACATCATGTAACCTAGTTCTTCCTTGGAATGCCACATTGAGGTGTTGACCTTGGGCAAACAAAAAATGAGCAGTTCTCAATGTTACACGGTTTAGACCATGTAAAATGGTATAAGAACCTAAGTACCTAGTGATGGGTAGGGTGCATCCTTGGCCTACACGTGGCAGGTGCTGCCGAGTGAGCATGCTCAACCCCAAAAGCTAGCTTTTGAGGTGAGGGTGACACTTGCATATTGCACATTATTTATGTACCCAATCGATGAGGGACTTCGTTTCACACTCAATAGGGTCAAGGTGTAGGAGATGAATGTATAGGCATGGTTCTACTTCCATCAGTCTGAGGCTTGTATGGCACTGCATTTGAGAGAGTATCATTCAAAGGAACAGCTGCTTGTGTTGGACTTGCGGGTGCCTCGGTTGATTCAAATTGTTAACGCAAGGGCATTCAGATTTGAGTTTTAGGGCTCCCTTTGCATCTGTGGTGCGCAGGGTAATTGGTTTTATTGCTCTTGATGAGTGGAACAAAAGAACGAATTGTTGAAGTTTTCCAACAGATGAGGAGGGGGGCACTGTAGAGAGGGACGAGTTTAGAAGGAGAAAAAATAATGAATTGTTAAAGTTTTCCTACTGATGAGGAGGCTGGAAAAATGGCTAAAACTTCAGTAACCTGGAAAAGAGTTGAAGCAAAGTCCTATAGCAATCAGCCCCAACCAGGTGAGCACATACAAGGTAGCTTCAGCTATTGAACATGAATTAGAAAGGGAAGCCAAGGAGGGCTATGAGAGTAGCAAAGCAAACCTTTTCCCATGTAGTAGGGAATGCTCTAGAGTGCATCAGGTCATACTGATTCTGATAAGGAAGAGAATACAGAGTGGCACATGAGTAATTGAGCTTTAAAAGAAGTTGGTGAAAGAAGGGACTGCACTGGGCAGGTCTGAGATGACTGAGATGATAGGAAATTTGGAGGGTGAGGAAAGTCTATTGAGAGGATTGCAGATTGAAGCTTATCATTGACTGATGAGGTGGAACTGATGTCTCTGGTGGACTGTGCGCCACTGACAACTAGGGGCTGCACACTTGAGGTTGGTGAAGGCGGGTCACAGAGAGAAAAATAAGGATGCATCAGATTGAGCAATAAGGAAGAGCAAGCACTTCAATCGAAATAAGGATGCATCATTAAGAGTATCTCTTCTGCTGTTAAGGAATTGTCCGATTTTATAGAAAATTATAGCTTGTTGACGTTACACGAAAGGGAAGAAGGGTGAGGTTTACTTAGTTCAATAATTAGGAAGCAGTCTTGATGTCAAGGTTTGACAGGTTTTAATCTCTATGACTGGAGTATGTGTTTTTCAAATGTCACAGCCCCACTTTCCTAGAAAAATGTTTGGCAATGCTTCAATTGTGTTAAATGGTAATACGAAGCAGCCTTCCAGGTTTGAAAACCCGGATGAGCAAAAAAGGAAAGGTTTGAAAACAGGGGTTTAAAATGGATGGCCATGTTGGTTGGGAGAGAAAATTTTTTTTTTTTTTTGATAAATCATGTTGGTTGGGAGATATAGAGTGAAGAGCACTAAACAAACAAGAGTAGTCAAAAATTCGAAGTTTGGAATTGGCCAAAGAAAATACAAAAGTAGTCAAAAAGTAGCAACAATCAGATTTATGAAGATTCAAAAAAATTACCTGTCGGTCGTTTCTTCAATGATTTTCGCTGCCGCTCAACAGCTTCCTTTATTTCTAATAAATGTTTCTATAAAACAAAAAATCACATCAATGTAAATTCTATTAGAACAATTTCATGGACTTGGATCATTGAATTTAAGCACTTTATAAATCAAGGTCAGATAAAAATCTTTCCAGTATTATGAAATTTGAGTTTATTGTGCCACCAAAGTTCATAGAGGAAGCAGTGAATCAAATTAGGTCACACAAAACCATAACATACTCTGTTGGCAGTGATCACTCAAGTTGGAAAGTACAGTAAGTAGGATATGTGACAAACGAGAATGTGTAATGAAAAGGTCAAATTCTTTACTAAAAGAAATACGGCCAGACATTTCTTATCCAACGAGAATTTCATATTGATACTTCCCCCACTAAAAAACAAAAGAAGCCAGGTCCGTCCATATATATATTAATCTTTGTCTAGGGGTACGCTCGTGTGATCTAGAGTCATAAGATTAGAGAAATTACAGGATTTTGGAATCATGGACCTCAAATTCCATCAATTGCTAAATCTCCTGTGCTTCTGATTTTAGAGTTTTCACGTTAATTTTTTTTAATTTCTACTATAGAGCCTTTGACAGAAACAAAAGAAGCCAGGTCCGTCCATATATGTATTAATCTTTGTCTAGGGGTATGCTCGTGTGATCTAGAGTCATAAGATTAGAGAAATTACAGGATTTTGGAATCATGGACCTCAAATTCCATCAATTGCTAAATCTCCTGTGCTTCTGATTTTAGAGTTTTCACATTAATTTTTTTTAATTTCTACTATAGAGCCTTTGACAGAGCAAAAATAAAAAATTTGATTCATGCAGCCGATCCCACCTAATTGGACACAAGGCTTTAACTTGGTTCGGTTAAAGTATGGAGTCAATACATTGACTATTCTCACTTAACTCAAAATCCAAATTTAATTTGCCAATTGGGTATGGATTATGGAATTAGATTTCTTAGTATGTGATCCAAATTAGATTTCTTAAGCACAAATATGACTAATAACTACACACATGCACAGCATAGTTTTATTAGATATAAATAAGTGGCCAAAAATTACAAAACCTATGGAACTACAGAAAGCCCTCATTTAGATTTTTTTTCGTTTCGGGCCCCAAAAAAGGTTTGAGTCATCCCACACAAGTACACGAAATTTAAAGAGCCAGGACATTACGATGGTGGCTATTTCATAACAAAATAGAGAAAAACATACAAGATGAGCATTGAGATCCTTAAGTGCTTGACCATCCTCCCATGTCTCAGATATGATAGTTCCAGCTCTGCAATTTTATTAAACAAAAAATTAATATCCAATATAAATTGATAAACAACAAAGGAAAAGATGAACGGAATTTTTTTAACTCAAACATCAAGAGTTATAAAAAGTTCTGCGGTGGCAACATCTAAACAATTAAGGGCTTCACATAACTTCAAAGAGTATCTCTCATGGGGTAATTACAAACAACTGTTTAGGATAACACTATTGACTTGATAAAATAGCAAATTAAAAAGCATTATCCTATATATCAATTGCCATCACCAAAAAATGAAGGCATATTTGAGAGCTAATCCTATTCAGACAACCAAAAACATACAGAAGCATACACAATTTAATATAGCATATTTTTGCAATATACATGGGTAAAGAAACAGATAGCATACAAAATTGGTTTGCATTGAATTTACTTCCGGAGTGTATACTTGTGCCCTTTATGTGAAGAAATGCGTACAACACATGTTCAATTATTTAATTATAGAGATTGCATAAACATTTATATCGCCTTTATTTTTTTTCTTTCCAAATATTTTCATGCGTTTCCAAATTTTTTATCATTTCCCTTTTGTTTCCAAAACGAAATGTTTCTGTTTCCAAGCTGACTGAAATGACACACCAAAACGAAATTTTGATCCTTGGTATATGAAAGAGACTAAAGTCTGACAAGTTTGAACAATATAACATAAATTATTGCAATCCAGATAATTTAAGTCACCATCTATTTTCAACAAGAGAAGAAATATTTATTAGCAACTTTCCTGCGTGTTTTCTGGAGGTCAGTTTCCTCCGATGTCTTTGTTTCTCCATAAATTTGTGGGAACCAAATCGAAGGAGAATGATTTATTCTGAGTATATCTTTACTGAAAAACAAAATGAATATATGCGGTACCTGATTACACCCACACTACCAAGTCTCAAAGAGTCCTGGCGTACTTTCAACCTAGCTTCTTGTCTCTCAGCTTTTGAGACAGATATCAACAGATCAGATATTATCTTCATTCTCTGCATCAAAGAAGGAAGCAAACCAATCAAATACCTATAGCACATGAAAAACAAAGAAAGCAAAAGCTAATACATCAAAGTGTTTTAAAAAGCAGATTGGTTATGCAAATAAATCAAACAGCCAAACACAACACTGAAGAATGACAATGCTATTGATTAGAGGGGTCATAAAGATTTGAAAAGCATACCTTTGGCTTCATTTGCTGGTCATAATCTTTAAGGTCCTTCAGTTCCTGTGAAATTCAATAACGAATATGAAAACAGAGATCACCGGTTGAAGTGAACAAAGTTTCTCAAAACTGAACACTGCAAATGAGTGAAGGATAATTATACCTTTTCTAACTGGTGGCATAGTTGCTGATAATCAGCGGCCTCTTGACGGGATTTCTTGAAGTCCTCCTCTAATGCTGCAACTTTTGCACGTAAAGAAGTGATCTCCTCCTAAAGTTAGTTGACAACAGAAGCATACACGATCATGAGAAATCAAAAGCTCACTGCATCTAATGCAAGAATACCTAAGGCAGTAGGATTATCCTATCTAACCATCTCCAAAATAGTAAAAAATTAAAACAAAAACGGACATTATGCAGCAGAAGATTTTTCTTTCAATTCCCCTTTTTAGCAAATCAAAGCTCCTACCAGAAACAAATTTCACCATAAAACAATTAAACACAATACCTCTAGTGAAGAGGCCTGAGGCCGATCCCAATTTGTTCTTTGGACCAACCATCCTGCAAAAGGGGGGAAAACAAAGGGAAGACAGCAAATGGATTACCACCATAAAAATCACTTGATGTTGCTGCTAACCATAAAGTCACAAGCAAAAGTCATCCTTTCACGTCTTTCTGCACTTGCAAAATAAACCTAGTTTTATCAAACAAACAATAATAACAAACACATCAGACAAACATCAATTGCCTTCAGAATCTTTCAGGTATCAGTACTTCTCTATACCACATAGGATGCAGCCTTAGGACGAATGACGGTATTCTTCACCAGCCTTAGGCATTGCCAGCCAATGCCTAGTTGATGCATACAATTTGAGTTTAATACATAAATTACAAAAAAGGACATGTGTCTCAACAACTCAGAAGGACGAAGGTGTATCATCTGCACTTGCAAAATAAACCTAGTTTTACCAAACAAACAATAGGATGCAGCCTTAGGACGAATGACGGTATTCTTCACCAGCCTTAGGCATTGCCAGCCAATGCCTAGTTGATGCATACAATTTGAGTTTAATACATAAATTACAAAAAAGGACATGTGTCTCTCAACAACTCAGAAGGACGAAGGTGTATCATGATGCTTATCTTGGTAAGATATTGTGATGCACTTATCTTTGGTTTGATACTGTCACTTAATGCTGAGGCACCTAGAAGCACATTCAATGCATATGATAGCATGACTAATCAATATATAATTACTTTTTTTAATAATCCGGGGAATCTCCAGCCCAGCACATATGGGCCCATTAATTTTTTAACTTACCAAGATATATATCTCTAATTATAAATACTAAAAACCAAACTAATCCTTGTGTCCTTACCGTGGAATTTTCAACAAAAATGAAAATACCAACCAGCAGTGATCTCATATCAAAATTTACGTAAAGCTGGTGGAAAAATAGTTCATGGGATGGATAAAAGATTTCAAAATTAGTCAAGGCCACTCTTAGGATACTGTCCATATTAATATTCAAATATTATACAGTAGTGGCACGGAACAATCTAATAGATGTGGACTTTTTCTAATTGGTGTATCTGGTGACATTTTTTACCACGTTATAGGCAGTAAATTACATTCTATTACCAGTGTTTTATTTCAAGGAGGATTTCAATGAGTATTTATGTAGTACCTTAATAGACATGATACGGATGATATTATTTTGCAAAAGCAACTATCTTATCACCAAAAATACATGACTGCGACCTTCCATGTATGTAAAGTTATACAGAATTCTACTCCTTAATTCAAGAATAAATAATCAACATTTGTTAACAATTCTAAGTGTTGTATACTCCATAGCAACAATCAATTAACACAAGGCAAACTCTCCTCGCCAATGCCACAATAGTGTAATGATGGCCAAATGGCAATGCCACATGCAGGAATCAGTTCTGAAGGGAAATGATTACAATTGAACAGCTACTTGCAAAGAAAATATAAATCAATATCGTCTAAATTGGGCCATATACTAAGTCAGCACACAAAATAATGATGACAAAAAATGGAGGATAGGATATCAATCATCCACAATTCATTGTCTGGTCTTCCCAATAATTTAGGCCCATTTCTTTCTAGATCAGCAAATATTGGGACATTCTTTTTAATATATTATAATGCCTACATTAATAATTTGAAGGTTTCTGCATAACACAGTGAACTAATGTAACAGTGCCATATGCAACAGAGCTTACAGGCGTTAAGCTCATATGGTACTACAATTACTAGAAACCAAGTATCAACATCTTATGGTACTCCACTGGGCCCAATCACAATGTAAAAGGGCATCCCCTGCTGCTATGTTTCACAATTCCATATGAGCAGCAGCAGCAGTTGAAGAAGATACGGAAAGAAATCGGAGAACGTCATGTTGTACAGATCATACCTTATGATGTGAGTTGATAAGCTGACCATTTGATGGTGAATTAATTGGAGGAGAAGTTTGTGTTTTTGCCTGACCATTAACTCTGGAACCACGCCCCCTGCCTGAAGCAGCATGCCCCCTACCACGGCCTTGTCTTCTCCTATTCACATCTACACCTGGCTTGGGGTCTGTGGTTTCCACGACCTTTTGTCCTATGTCAGCCACAGCCTGATTCATTCATATGTAAGCATCACTATGCTATTGTTTCATTAAAATAAAATCTAAGAGAAAAAATGCAGAAATAACAGCTAATACCTAAGAAGCCATGCCTAAGAAGAGTACCAGTAAATGATAGCATATCAATATCAAACATATCATAACATTACCGTTACGTGTTCAAAAAACATAGACAATAACAAAGGCTGAAAAAGTAAAAGATTATAAGTGGCTAGAAAAAAAGTTTAATACTTGAGACAGATATCACCACACTGAAGCTCCAATCAAGCAAACAATTGCTATATAAAAGTCTACCTCAACATGTTCAGAAGCAGATGAGTTGTCATCTTCTTCAAGTTTCCGGCGCTTTTGAGTATTTGCTTGTATGAGATACGCCGTTCCATTCTATCATAAGAGTAAAAAGACAACGTTGTTGAATTCAAAAAGAAGGAAAAAATTCAGAGATTTTTAAAAAGCATTTGAACCATAATGCTTCGTGACAAAAAAAATAAAAATAAAAAATCAGGTGAACCAGACCATAAATCACAGCAACTAAAACACAAAATCTGTTTCCGAAAGAGGAAATGCAGAACTTCTAATTGTGAGATATTATTACTCCAACAGTCCACGAATCTAGACAAGACAACTCATTAAAATTAAAAAAATGTACAGAAACACACAAGCATGCACTGACACATACAAGTCGAGGGTGAGTGCATCATCAGCTGAAATTAAACAGTTCTTTAAATACACAAAAGCTCACAGAACTTCTACAGATTAGTTATATTATTGGCAACAATAAATTCCATCTCTATCATTATTTATCAATCCTGCCATTTTTTTTCACTCCATTTTTTCTTGTTTGTCCTAATAAGATATAATTTCAATCATTTGGTGTGTTTACTAACCTTCTAATTCTTTCTTGGACAATTTTGCTACAAGCATTCCGCATTGTATTGTTCATGCAAGCATACATTTCCCAACTATTAGTGGTTGATTTTAAAGAAATAAGCAGAAAATGTGAATGTGCGCTTGGACATTCTTGTGCTTATAGTTACCTTTTATTCATGGATGCAACCTTGCATATCTACATTCACTCCATATTTGGAATAATAAATAATCACAAAATCCAGCATGTATCCCCTTCAACCCCATACTTGGGTTTTGAAGCCAAGTAAGAGAATAACTTCAAGATGACATCTTACTAACAGCACATAACACATTCTAACTCAATCTCGTAAAGGACTAAATGAAATTCACAAATCAATTTTTCAATCCTAAAACTTGAGTTAAACATATAGGCTTGCCTGACCAAGAAGAACAATCTACTAGTGAAACCTTCCTTGAAAAAGAGAAAGTTAGAGCTACGTTGATAGCACAAATTAAAAGCTCGCTCTTGAAGTCGAACAAGTTAATGTACTTCCTTGCCATTATACCCCCGATGGGTGACAAGCTGCCATATAAAATTCAGATATCAATGACCGCATAGTTACCTGTTGTGTCAGTTTGAGGATCAAAAAATTAGATTCAATTTAATCTGTTTGTAACAATTTCAAAGTCACCAAGTATTTTCCAAAATTAATCGACTCTCGGATTCAGGTTGAACCTGGAATTGGATTCATACGAACTTATCCCTAAACCGGATTTCTCCTCCAAAAACAGGAAAATTGATTATAACAATTCAAGAAAAATAATGGCTGTTTTGATATTTAATGCTAATTAGCTAAAATTTGGGTCATTCCAGAAGTTGTAAGACTCGACTAAAACATTAATGCAACATTTTTTATGGTCCATATACTGTCAAATTTGGACCCCACAACCCATTAAGATTTGGAATTCCGTTTTCGCTGTTAATTTGTGGGTTTATCAGATTACTGAACTAGCATCATAAACAAACTAAAAACAGACCACATTACATCTCAAGCATGTGTAAAAGATCAAAACAACTACAAACGCAAGTGTACAAACAGAATTCAATAAATTAGATTCAATTTGATTCTTCATTACAATTTCAAAGTCAACAAGTTTTTTTCCAAAACTAATCAAATCTCAGATTCAGTTGAACCTGAAATTGGATTCATACAAAGTTTATCCATAAGCTGAACTTTCCAGCCAAACTCGGGAAATTGATTATAACAATTCAAGGAAAATAATGGCTGTTCAACTTTTAATGCTAATTCAGCTAAAATTTGGGTCATTCCAGAAGTTGCAAGATTCAACTAAAACATTAATGTAACATTTTCTATGTCCATATACTGTCAAATTTGGACCCCGCAGCCTGGTTAAGATTTGGAATTCCGCTTTCACCGTCAATTGGCAGGGTTATTATCATGCCTATTACTGAGCTAGCAATCATAAACAAACTCAAAACAGACCACATTACAGCTCAAACATGTGTGAAAGATCAAAACAACTACAAATCCAAATGAATAAACAGAATTCAAGTCTCACATCATCATCAGAATCGCTTGAAGGCAAGGACTCAGACAAATTCTCTGCAGTAGCAGCAACTCCATACTTCGCCACACACGGAGCAGCTGGCCAGGTGGCCTGCGCCGGGGCAGGCGCAGCTGAGGGAGCCTTTCCAACCATTCGAGCTTCGAGTTTTGCAATTTTTGTGGGCAGAGACTGATCGGATTGGTTTGAAGAGTTGGAAGAGAAATGCAAAAGCATGTCCTCCGACATTGTTAGCCCCAATGCAGATATCCTAACACAGTTCAGAATTATAAGAAAACCCTAAAAATGTTAATTTTCAATCGAGAAAAGCAATTTGAGGTGGACCCATTTAGCAAAACACTTGATCAAACAATGATGAACACAGTTATGATTGCCCCAAAGCACAATTAAAGCTTCAACAGCAAGAGATATGGAGATAGATACAGAGACTTAGAAGTTGGTAAGATGATGATCAAAGCCTCAAAGGTGATGGGAATTGTGGATATCAAGAGAAACTGTGAAGTTCAGAGAGAGAGTTGAGTCAATTTTTCTGGGCCTGATGAAAGATAAAATTAGGGCTTTTTTTCTTCTTGAGAGACGATTGGATGAATGCAGAATCAGGGAAGAGAAAGGAGGGTGACGGTGGTGGTGATGGTAAGAGAATGAACTGAGGAGATGTTTGGAAGCCAAGAAAATGAGGAATTCAAATGTTGGAATGGTTTTTCATGAGAAAAAAAGATTTCCATATATGACTTGTTTCATTTGGGTCATGGTACTACTGTCTATGGGGGGCTGTTGGGGTGAGGTGGGTTGTGTCCTGCTACCAAAAAAAAATTAGGGTAGGGAGAATGTTATGTGAAGTTGAAGACAAAGGAAGAGTGAGGGGGGAGATGTAACAAAGAATGAGAATAGGTCAGTAAGGAATATTTTGGGAAGTGAATTTTTTTAATTCACTTTCAAAAAAGAAAAAGATTCAAAAGTTTAAAAATTAAAAAATTAATTTTTAATTATTTTTTCAAAGTATTCCTAAATTAGAGTTGAAGGGTTGTTTTGTGGATTTGTTCTAGGCCTATTTTTGTGACATGAAAGGCATTGGGGTGTTTTGGAAAGATTGTTGGTTTTTTGATTTTTTATGACTTTTTTTAAAAAATATGTAAAAAATGTGAGAGATGATGTGACTTAAAATAAATTAAAAGTTGGGAAGTGACTTTTAACTCACTTCTCAAAAGAGACTTTTGTTTGATAATTAATTTTTGAAAAATAGGTGGTAGCTCGAAATGGGTGAGGGTCGAATGGCCCGAAATTTGAAAACCACGTCGTTTTGCAATTTTCTTCTTCTTCTTCGTTGAACAGAGGAGAAGAGGAGGAGAGAGGGAGAAAGAGAGAGGAGAGGAGAGAAGAGCTCGTCGCCTCCGCCGCCTCCACCCGCCGTCCTCGTCGCAGCTCGCAGCTCATTCGTCGCCTCCGCCCGCCGTCGCAGCTCGCAGCTCGCAGCTCGTCGCCTCCGCCCGATCGTGCCTCCACCCCCCGCCTCCGCCTCCGCCTCTAGCCCTAATAATTGGGCCCCCTCCAGTCCTCCTCCTCCTTCCTCCTCCTCCTCCTCCTCTTTCTTCTTCCCTCTAATTTCGAGCCAAATTCGAGCCCCTATATTCGAGCTACCAACCGGCACTACTAGAAAAAACACTTTCTGTGACGAACATGTTTGGTCGTGAAAAGTACCATATTTGGTCGCTAAAACCTTTTCGCGACCAAAATTCGGGTCTTTTAACCCACGCCATTTCGAGCTACGAAATGGGGTTGTTAATTTTTTTAATATTTATAGGTTAGTTTTATTAAACATACTCATTTACCAGTAAACCTTGTTTCATTTGTCACTTATCAATGTTTCTAAAATGTTCTTCCCTCATCTCTTTCAGTATTTTAACCATAAAAGACCACTTTCATAACCCTCTGTTGCCGGCAACTACTTCTAGCTATCGACGAACTCCTTCAAACGTAATTTTTAACTATTGGCAACCACATTTGACTACCAACCACCATCAGTCGCCGTTTTCTAATTGTCAACACTCACCTTCAACGGCCATCTTTCGTCGTTGTCTCAAACTATTGACAACTACCTCCAACCTTCAACAACATTTCTTTGACCATTTTATGTCAAAAATAGTGTTCAACTCTACTATGTCACTACCATCACCCCTTTGGATTTGTTGGCAACAATATAATAATAAATGAAAAAAATCGAGAAAGAAAATGAAGAAAAATAATGATAGATATGAAAAGAATTTACAATAAAATAGTTGTCCACAACCTTCATTACTACAGACCAACACGGTAATAATAAACACATTAAATGACAAATTTATCACCGCTAATTTTCATTGATTGATTTGTAACGCAAATCCGATTCACTTACTATTACTCACACTAACTCACTCTTATTCATAATCGCTCACAAGAACCTCTCGTTTACACACACATACATACATGATAATGATAAATTTATCACTGCTAAATTATACCAGACAACAAATCTCAATTGAAATAAAGATTCAGAAATAAGAAGACACGAACGATGGATGTAGAATGATGATGGTGAAGTATAGATCAATGATGGTAGAGCTAATTAGTGAACGACAACGATGGGTCGGCAACAGTAAAGTGTAAATTAGAGATGGTAGAATGTAAATCGGCGATGATAAAATGTAAATTGACGACAATGTAGAGTAGGGGTGAGTAGTGGATATACCGATCCTTCCAAACCGACCGAACCGAACCCATCCGCCTCATTTTTTATGGATACGTAATAATGAGCGGACGGTTGCGGATTATTTTTTTCAATCCGCCTAGTTTTCAACTGATGGCGGATTTGAGGTTCCTTTAGCCGCAACCGAACCGCCAAACCGTGAACACCCCTTGTAATTTGTAAGACTTTATATTTTCAATTTGTTTAGTTATTCTGCTTGTGTTTTTAATTTTAAAAAAAAAAGTTTAAATATTTTGTTGAAAATGAGTTTTCACCTTGAATATATTTTTTTAATTGAAAAAATTAATGTATTATTTATTTGTATTTTTTTATTTTTAAATCTAACTCTAAAAATAATAAATAAAAAAAGATGATATATGTTAGTTGGTTTTTGTTTTCAAAAACAGATATAGATATAATAATACAAAGACATACAATCTCTACTGCTGCTCTATTCATAATTTTGGTGGTTTGAATTGTTTTTATATTTTAAGAATAACAGATTGTAATATTTTATGTGGATGAGGCATGCTGTGATTGTAATATTCAAAAAACTTTTTTTATTTGGATGAGACATGTAGTGATTGTAATACTTTTTTAAATCATTAACAATAATAATATTAATATATTTTTTTTTTTGAGGAAGTGCACGAGTTGAATTATGTTGAAAATTTATAAAATTTTAAACCGCCAAATCGATTCGCATCCATCCGCTAATCCGCCAATCTGCTCAATCCACATTCGCACGGATTGGTAGACGGATGCGGATTGATTTTCTCCAATCTACTAATCTGACGGACAAAAGGCAGATTAGAGATTTTATAGCCGCAACCGACTCATACCCACCTCTAATGTAGAGTAGATCGACAATGATGGAGGTAATTAGTGAACGACAATGGTTGACAATTATGATGCCTATGGCCGTAGTGGCGGTGGTAGCCAATGGTGACAATAGTTGTATTGGTGGTGGAGAATCTTAGAGAAATTTAGAGAAATAGAGAAAGGTTTATTGGTACAGTCAAAAGGTATATACGATTTTTAGGTATTTAAGTTCATTAAATAGGATCGGATGGTAATTATCTTTATTTTTTTTTAAAAAAAAAAAGTTTAAAAGTTAAAATGTAATATCATGCACATTAAATAATTATTTTGTTGTCACAATTATCTATTTAACCTTTTAAAAACATAATTCCAAACCCCTACTTTTTCAGCTAAAAAAAAAAATCAAAAAATAATGAAAAGAACCAAGTTGGCCTACGAGCACAAAATGATTTACAATTTTTAAGATTTGAATCTTCTTAATAACTATACAAAATGATAAAATTGTAACAAAAAAATAATAACGTCAACAGTTAATTTATGTTAATAGAACACGGAGTGGGCATTTGTTGGGCCAGATATGGCCAACACTGCATAATAAAAATTTTTGTGTTTGCCTAAGACCAACTCAACCCTAACATCAGGTCTCTACATCTATAAGCCTGGTAAAGAAAATAATTATAAATCTCAAGCCTATTTATTGGGCTACTTGTTTAAAAAAAAAAAAAAGTTTAAACATTTCATAATTAAATTTCACCACACATCATATTTATTAAATAAATATATTGACATCATTATAAATTGAATCACACATCACTACAAATGTGAATTTTAATAAAATCAATAAAGATAAAGTATAGATCTCATCAAAAATATATTTTTTAATATATTATTGTACGGGGAGCAAATATTCTGCAGTGCCCGTACTCCTTTCGTCCAAGCTCCTCATCTGTCCGATCAACTTGCGAACACAACGGTGGTGAGCTACTCGACGGTATGTGGTCGGAAAACCCCTCCGACGGTCAAGTTAGCACACACTCAGAGATAGAGAGATGAGAGACTTGAGTTTTTAGGTTTTTCTCACCAAATTATGTTTTTATATCCAACATGGGGGTGTAGTCTTGCTTATATACTTTCTGCGCTCAAATCTACTCCAATTGATCTCTTGACGCGTAGAGCTGCTCTCCCATCTGTCAGTACAAATCCAGCAATCACCACCTAACCATACCACCAGACTACATTAGCGGGAGCTTAGCATCCCAACGGCATCACCTCGGCTTCCTATGACCGTGCTGTGCAACGTGCCTGAGTGTTCTGCTCGCCGAGCTCCATAACAGCCGAGCTTGAAAGCATTTCGGCAGAGTCGAGTTTAAGGCAGGTCGGTCGGTGAACAGAAGACATTTCCCGCGCGAGCTACGCGTGCGACCCATGGAACCCAGGTTAGCAGGCAGTCATCTCAGCCCAGTAAGCTCGGTTCAAACATTGGACCTGGACCTCGGGCCTAAGCCTCGACCGAGCAAGATAAACTCCAGTGAGGCCTCAGTCAGCTCGGCCTAAACAGGGGGCCCGAGCCTCAACCGGGCAAAATCCACTCTGTATTGGCCCAAATTAGCTCGACCCAACATGCTCGATCCTATCCGTCCAGCTTCTACCACGGCCCAAAGCCAGATTATAAATCTCCCTCACAATTGCCCCTTAATTCCATCCGCGCAAGCATGACCGGGATTAAATGATCCGACCAGGGTAGATCCTGCCTCAATTCTTAGTTCGCAAGACGTAAACCGCGCTAATCCCAATGCTCGGTTTCTAAGCTTGCTCGGTTGACGCCTCATCTCGCCACATGTCTCTTCAATACTGACGCCGCCATCAATGGGGATGCGCGTCGACCATTTATTGGCCTCGAGAAGCCAACCCAGCCGTCTCTTCAGATTCAAATTTAGGCGGTTCTTTTCTCTTATAAACACACCACATCTCCCTTCAGTTTCTTCCTGCTGTCTCTCTTTCATTCCTGTCGTTCCAAAGCTGCAGTGCCAACCTCCCAACTCAAACACCATTTCTGCTTTTGCCTGGGTTCATGCTCGAAGATTGGACTCTCGCCCTCATTCTGGTCAGTTCTTCGAACCCCTTCATTGTTTTTTCCTTTGGTATTTCACATCTTAAGACACAAAAGTAATAAGTTTTAGGATATAGCTCCCAAAAACCTTCAATGCCCCCTGTTCTCCTTGTTGTTCTTCAGCTCCAGTGATGAACACATGAAGATCTGGGGCGGACCGGGCTCCAGGTCTTCTTTTGATCCCAAAAAAATC